TCACATAGGCTCTAATTCCTATGCTTGCAAATATCAGGCATTGTGTCCCCGAGTCACCTTTCTGATTTAACCTGTGTAACTTAAGCAAGATGGGAACATCTCTTACCCGTCACCTGATGCACCTCAAATGGAATTATAGTCAATTCGGCTGAATTTCTGTGACGGCTGTGATTTTCTATCTTCGACAAACCTCCAAGATGGTGAGGCCCCCGGAACCGAGTCCACTGTTTCATTCTAGGAATTATAACCACTATAGCAGAGGACTTCTGACAAGTTGCGTTCTACTAAGTTGCCATGACAACAAGACCAAGTTGCAACAACGAGGTCAACCCACTTCTCCAAAGTTGTAGTTATTTCCTCAGTCAGAATATACTCACTGAAAACAACTTGATTACCGAGGGTTCCTTATCCGCTTCTTCCTCGCCATCTCTTTACATCTAAGGATGTGTCTCTTATCCGGGCTTCTCTTTTTTGTTGGTATTGCCGTATTCTTGTTTCTTCAGAGTTTGCCTAAGCATTCGCTAATTTCCTGTTCATTTAATTTCTTTCTACAAGGATGTCAATGTCCTCAATCTTCAGTTTCGATGTGTTTTTACCATATGAGGACCTTCCTTCTCTTGCTTTCCAAATGATCTCGTATCCAGTCTCAATATGTTCCACTATTAATAATCTTTCTGTATCCATTTTAATGCAGGGCCTTTGATGTTCCTTTTTATCGTATGCACAAAAGTGGATGCGCCTGCCTTCAAGTGAACTAACTCAAAAACTATGACCAATGCTACTAAAATTGAATATTTAAGTGACTACGAAAGAAAAAAACATTTTTCACAAATTTTGACAGTCATCATGGGAGGGTTGACAAATTGGATTGCTCGGAAGTTTACTGCATAGCATGTGGCGTCTGAAAACTAAAATATATTGACTAAACGGTTAATAATCAGCATTGCCGATCAAAGGACATCAAAGCTATGCCGGAAAATCAATAGAGAAGGGTCAGAACTAGCAGAATACATTGCCCAGGAAGGATACGATATCAAGTGGAAGGCATTATAAGGAAGGGCGCCATATTGTGAAAGCACAAGGAACCAAGATTAGAGATGCTACTGTCGGTCATCATTTTGGAAATAAGTCTAATGAACCGGTGATTGGAAGACGGCAGATTTCGTGATAACTATTTATATTTATTTTATCTTACATGTTCTTCAGCTATCTTATCACATCTTTATTTTTATGTTATGTTCTGTTTGCTTTTTCCTGTTTCCCTTAAATTTCATTTCCATCTCTCTAAGTTGAACCATCTTCGCGAACTCTGTCTTGGGAAGCTTATTTTCGCACAAGCTCCTCCTGGCGAGCCAGTTGGTCTACTAGCCGCTCAGTCGGTTGGTGAGCCGTCCACTCAAATGACCCTAAATACATTTCATTTTGCCGGTCGTGGTGAAATGAACGTAACACTAGGTATTCCGAGGCTGCGCGAAATCATTATGCGTGGTTCCGGGAGTATTAGCACACCATCTCTGGAGGTGCCTGTGGTCAACTCGCCCGTCGCGCATCGCAAGGCTGATCAATTGGCTAAACGCTGGTATCGTCTCAAGTTGACTGAGGTAGAATGGCACACTATATCTTATTATTATTTAATCAACTTTTTATTTTCGTAAATAAGCAGAGTATTCTTTTTTTAATTTGATTATTTAATTAGTATAAAGCAATTATGCTGTACTTATACAAGCTTGCACACCACTCTTTACTTTAACGGCTGAAACCAAAGAAATTACTTCTGGGAAAGATATCTGAGCGGGGCCCTAATTTAAAGAATAATACGAATTCACACATCCTTAAATGGAATCAAAACAAGTGTTTCATTACTATTATTTTGTTTGAAAAGGCGAAAGGAAGGGATTCGTAAGACGTCATTTTCGGTAGCCTTGGAGCGATGACTAGTTTGTGCAAATGAGTCCTCGACCGTGATGAATCGTTACTAAACTTACGGTCGACATAAGATGAAGCAGATGAAGCATAAAACGGATGCAATGGTATCATGAGTAGGTTTTTCAAAACTACCAGTAGATCTTATATAAGGTCTAGTATATAAGAGCTATATATTTACCCTATTTCTTTTAAAGTTATGAACATAACTACATTTTCCCACAACGATGTGATTGGGCCCTGCGCTCCCATTTAATTTAGTTAACTAGTGAAAAAATATGTTAACAATAGGATTAGATGAGGATAAGAGATTACTTTGTATTTATGTTATGAGCATTATCGAAAATGATAAGCTAGATGGTGATGTTTACAGGAAACTAGCATATAGTGGTTTCGTTTTTACTTATCTTTCTTACCGTAATTACAAAGCTGTTTGGAATTTTTAAATCAATGATTATTAGGAGTAGGAGGCTGAAACATTTAGTCCCGGAAAATAATTCACCTTTAGGCATAATTTATAATCATGTCTGGCTAGAAAGGAATACATTTTTAAACAGTCTTTTTGGTCAAAGATAGCCTAGCTGAGACTCTTTTTTATGCCTTAATCTTGCTTTCTTTCTGAGAAGAAAGACAAACTAGTGAGGAAGAGGGATATAAAAAGAGTTATCGAAGAAATTGATATTTTTTAGGAAATTGAAGATATGAAGACCAAGATGGTGTGGCCTTATGTGTGGTCGCAGTCTCCTTTCGTTGTATATAAGTTATTTAACCTTGTTTTTGTAACTTGGTCATATTGGTAGGAAGACTTAGAGGAACGCATCTAGTCCAGAGTCCATTGTATGCATGCTAATTTCCAAAGTCGGACGGTGGACGTATTACGTTTCGCCGGCATCGCCAATGAGTCTGCCATTCTTAGCACCTTAATACAACTCGTCAAAGAGACAAGTGAAGCCGATTTATTGACCAAATGTGTGCTAAGCTGTTGTGGTATCTTTCCTTCTGTCATGTACTATTCACCTTTTCTATATACTCGTATCACGCCTTCACTGTCACAATTTTTGTGTGCCAATTTAAATGTAGTGTGGTGCGCCCTTTTGAGCGGCTTTAATGAGAACCCTCCATAATCCAGGTTAGCGTTCTCATCCCCCTTCACCCTTGTGCTGGGAATGTTGATCAGAGTCTGCCATATTGTTACGCAGTTCTCATTCCCTAGGTCTTATTAGATCTGATTAAAGTCAACTAGCTCCAGTTTCTGCCGCGTCTATTCTGTTTCTATTCCTAATATAAATTACATGACTTACTATGCTCTCTTGTGTGCCAGCACACAAATGTTGTGGTACTGCTTAGTTTGATTAGGTTCACTGTTGAATCACAACGTTTGTGGTATGGCACACAAGAGACTAGGGCATCTTAGTAAG